CTTAAGCTGAAAGAACAGAGGAAAAAATTCGAACCTCAACTTGTAATATTGAGGGATTCTGTGGACAAAATAAAATGGAAAGAATACACTGTACCAAAAAGAAATGATTGATGTTCAACCATTTCAAGTGGTAGCAAATGATCAAGAACTGATAGCACTGAAGGAAGAAGTTCAAGCTACACTAAAGGCACTGGCAAAAACAACACTCCAGGAATTGGCAGATACAAATTTAAATCTTTCACCAAACTGATACAACACTGGAGACCCTTACTCTTAAATGCCAAAAAAATTGCAAGACAGATGTCTAACCAACTGATTAGAAGAGATCCATATTTGTGCCCATTCCAAAGCGAGGCAACCCAACAGAACACAGAAATCATCAGACAGTATCATTAATATCACATACAAGTAAAGTCTTGCTGAAGATAATTAAAAATGGTTGCAACAGTACATTGACAGATTACTGCTAGAAATTTAAACCAGATTCAGAAGAGGACATGGAACTAGGGATATCACTGCTGACATCAGACAGATCTCGGCTGAAAGCAGAGAATACAATATAGATTTCTACTTGTACTTTATTGACTATGCAAAGGCTATTGAATATGAGGATCATGAAAAGCTATAGATAACTTTGTGAAGAATGGGTATTCCAGAACATTTAATTGTGTTCATGAGGAACCTGTACATAAACCAAGAGGCAGTCATTTGAACAGAACAAGGGGATACTAAATGGTTTATACTAAATGATACAGGAAAGGTGTATGTCAGGGTTATATTTTTCACCATACTTATTCAATCTGTATACTGAACAGAGAATCCAAGAAACTGGATTATATGAAAAAGTACATGGCATCAGGATTGGAGAAGAACTCAGTAACAACCTGCAATATGCAGATGATACAATCTTGATGACTGAAACTGAGGAAAACTTAAAATACTTTGATGAAAACTAAGACTACAGCCTTCAGTACAGAATGCATGTGAATGTAAAGAAATCAAAAATCCTCACAACTGGGCCAAAAGTATCATGATAAATGGTTAAAGTTTGAAGTTTCCAAAGACTTCATTTTGATTGGATCTACAATCAACACTTAGGCATGTAGCTGCCAAAAAATTAAATAAAATATTGCTTTAGGGAAAGCTTCTGCACAAGATCTCTTTAGTGTCCAAGAGCAAAGGTATCAATTTGGGGCTAAGGTGAGCCTGATTCAAGCTGTGGTTATTTTTCAGTAGCCTCATATGCTTGTGAAAGTTGGACAGTGAATGAGGAAGACCATAAAATAATTGATGCATTTGAATTGTAGTGTTGGAGAAGAATATTGAATATTGAATAAAGAATATTGAATGTCAGAAAGACAAACAAATTTGTGTTGGAAGAATAGCTGGAGTGTTCCTTAAAGCAAGGATGATGAGATTTCATCTATCATACTTCAGACACGCTATCAGAGGAACTAGTCCCTGGAGGAGGACATTATGCTTGGTAAAATACAGGGTTAGGGAAGACCCCCAAAGAGATGGATTGGTAGAGTGGAAGCAGCATTGGGCTAAAGCACAACTTAACAATAATTATGAGGATGACGTAGGACCGGACAGTGTTTCATTCTGTTGTACAATAGGGTCATTATGAGTCAGAATCAACTCAACATCACCTAACAACCTAACAACAACATCTCTACCTTCATTTTTCTTATTTTATTCTGCTTCTTTTTCCCCCTTTCCTGCTGGGTTTTCTCTCTCTCTCTCTCTCTCTCTCTCTCTCTCTCTCTCTCTCTCTCTCTCTCTCTCTCGCTTTCTCTCGCTTTCCTCTTGATTTTTCTTTACTAGTCTCTGGCCCCTCTTTCCCTCTCATTCTCTCTCTCTGTTTTTTTTTACTCATACATTGCCCTGATTGTGTTTGTGTTTGTTGTTGTTGTTAAGTGCCATAGAGTCAGTTCCAAATTATAGCTACCCCATATAGGGTTTCCAAAGAGCAGCTGGTGAGCCTGACTTGCCGATCTTTCATCTCATATTGACTTTGTCAGTGCATTAACCCATAGCACCACACCAGAACTCCATAATTGTGTTTAGAACACTCTATTTATTTTTATTTCCTCTCTTATTTTCCTCTTCTGTGGTATTTATTTTATTTTTTATTTTCTCTGTCTCTTTTCTGTTTTTGTAATTGTATTCTCTTTCTAGCTGTTGTCAGCTTTTATTTTGTCTTCCTTTACTATTTTTTGTTCTCACTTTCATTTACTTGTCTTTTTTTCTTCCCTAACCTGACAGGGGAAAGCAAACATGTCCATACAGCCCAGCCACAACCATACCTTCTGCAGCCCTACCTACTGAGCAAGGGCCAACACGTGCTGCTATACAACTGATTAACAACAGCCAATATCATCTAAACTGATCCACAAGAATAGCAAACAGAGAATGGGGAACATACTTCCATTCTCAAATACACCCATCAGGAGGTAGTTGGTGTGTTCTTGGATCCACTATCAACACTTATGGAAGCAGCAGTCAAGAAATCAAATGGTGTATTGCATTAGGCAAATCTGCTGCACAAGACCTCTGTGTTCAAGAACAAAGCTGTCAATCTGAGGACTAAGGTACTGCACCTGACCTATGGTATTTTCAATAGCGTCATATGCATATGAAAGTTGGACAATGAGTAAGGAAGATCATAGAAGAACTGAAGCATTTGAGTTATGGTTTTGGAGAAGAATACTGAAAGTACCACAGACTGTCAGATAAACAAACAAATCTATGTTGGAAGAAGTACAGTCAGAATGCTCCTTAAAAGTCAGGTGGCAAGACTTCGTCTCTCATACTTCAGACATATTAATATGAGGGACCAGTCCCTGGAGAAGGATATCATGCATGGTAAAGTTGTTATTGTTAAGTGCCATTGAGTCAGTTCCATCCCATAGTGACCCCATATAGAGTTTCTGAGGAGAGGCTGGTGAGCTTCAAGTGCTGACCTTGCAGTTCAAACAGACTTTGCAATCCAATGCATTAGTCCATACCAGGACTCTAAGTTTACCTTAAAAAAAGTGAATGGTCAAAAAAAAGAGGAAGCCCTCCAACAAGATGGTTTGGAACAGCAGCAGCAGCAGCAATGGGCTCAGGCTTAACAATAATTGTGAGGATGGCACAGGACCAGGCAGTGTTTCATTCTATTGTGCATAAGGTCGGTATCAATCAGAATGAACTCAATGACACCTAACAACAACAACTTTATATGGAACGAAACAGGCCTTGGATAAGCAAAGCATTACTTTGAAAGAACAAGATTGGAGGCCTCTCATTTCCTGATCTCAAAATCTACTACACAGTCACAGAGGTCAAAAGAGTCTGGAACTGGTATAGCTAAAGATACATAGATCAATGGAATAGAACTGAGAAACAAAAGTAAAGCCATCTACTTACAGTCAAATATCTTTGACAATTGGCCAAAATACATTAAATGGTGGAAACAATAGTCTCTTCAACAAAAGGTACTGACAAAACTAGAAATCCAACTGCAGGAAAATGAAACAATGATATTGTAGAATAAGCACTCAACTGCAAGTTTGGTTTAAACTACAAGGTCAGAAGTTCAAACTCACCAGTTACTCCTTGGAAACCCTTACAGGGTTGCAATGGGTCACGGTGGCACTTAATAACAGCAATAGCAACACTCAAGGTCACATTTTGGCTCTCCTGCACTTGTTTTAATTTTCATCAGCTTCATCCTGAACTTTCATTTTAGCAATTAATGGTCTGTTCTTCAGTCAGCTCCTGGCTAATGATATTTAGCTTCTTCATTGTCTCTTCCCACAGATGTAGTCAATTTGATCCCTGTGTATTTTATCTGGTGAGGTTCATGTGTACAGTTGCTGTTTATGTTGTTGTAAAAGGTATTTGTAGTAAAGAAGTCATTGGTCTTGCAAAATTCTATCATGCAATTCCCACCACCATTTTTATTACTATATAATTTCCATCATCATTTTTATTTTCCAACTACTATTCCTTCCTCTTTGTTTCCAACTTTCTTGTTCCAATCACCAGTAATTGTCAATGTATCATGATTGCAGGCATAATCAAATTTCAAATTGAAGAAGTTGGTAAAATTCTTCAATTTCATCATCACTGGCTTTAGTGGTTGGGGAGTAAAATTAAATAATAGTGGTATTAACTGGCCTTCCTTGTAGGTGTATGGATATTATCCTATCACAGACAGAACTATACTTCAATACTGATCTTAAAATGTTCTTTTTGATGATGAATGAGACACCACTCATCTTGAATTTGTCATTGCTAGCATAGTAAAGCCTATGGTATTCCAGTTCAAGATAGCCAGTATCAGTCTATTTCAATTCACTAATGCCTAGGACACTGATCTTTATACATTCCATTTCATTTTGACGACTTCCAATATTTCTACATTCTTTGATTGTACATTCTATGTTACAGTTATTAGTAGATGTTTGCAACTATTTCTCCTCATTTTGAGTTGCACTATGTCAGCAAATGAAGGTCCCAAAGGCTTTACTCCATCCAAATCCTTAAGGTCAACTGTACTTTAAGGAGGCAACTCTTCTCCAGTAGAATTTTGAATGCCTTTCAACATGAAGGTCACTGTATCAGACATGTTCCACTGCTGTTTATGAGGTCTTCAGTGGCTCACCACTCACAAGTGATCTACTTCTCATTCTTTTAGTCTGTCTTAATCTGGAAAATCAGCTGAAACCTCTCCACCATGGGTGGCCCTGCTGGTATTTAAAATACTGGTAGCATAGCTTTCAGACCACAGCAACACACAAGCCACCACGGTACAACGAACTGACAGACAAATGACAGGGTCACTCATAGAATTTGTATTGTACGTAATAGAATACAAATATCTCATAGGATCATCAGATCTGCATGGTCGGTTCAAACTACCAACTTTTCAGTTAGCAATGGAGCACTTTACCTTTGTACCACCAGGGCTCCTAAACTTCATTAGTATTTTATAAAGCCTCATACATTACCTTTTCTTTTGTTTTTTTGCTTAGAAACTTCTGACATGTGATATTTGGTTCTGTCTTTTCTGAATTTCTCTGACTATCCTGTTTATGTTCCTCTTTCATTTCAGCTTTGTATTGCTGGTGCTTTAGTTTGTATTTGTCTGTTGGTGCTGGCAGATTCTCTGCTATTACATTCTGCTCCTAGAAGTTAAAAAAAAAAAAATATGTATGCATATAAATATATATTGTGCTAGAAAAAATCATAGTATTAGCAGGAATATTATTTACCTTAACATTTATACCTAAGAAACAGACCATTAAATCTGCATTAGAAACAGAAGTGGTATTTAAAACATTGAGCTGGGACAGAACCATAGACAAACTGCTCAGAATGAACACAGGTCTTAAACAACATTAAGATTGTACCTTATTTACCAAATGATGATCTATTCTAGTTATAAAGTAAATTGAGAGGAGAAAATAAGTGCTTCCCTCTTAGGAGGTCTTAGGCTTTATTATTATACAGAAGGACTGGTTGCATTTCTAGAATGTTGAGATACTCACCTCCAGGTATTACTTGGTTCCCTGCCATGTTTCCATGGTAATGAGAGATAAAACAGCCAGTGCATAAGAGAAACCTACTAGGAATACTAAACAAATATAAGAGCATAAACTCATATTGGCATACAGAGGAATACAGACTCCAAAAGTAACACAGCAAAGTCATTCAAACCACAGAAAACTGTTAAGCATCCCCTGGAAGTCTAATCCTGAGAAGGATAAGGCAAAGCTTCTGGGTGAAATTGTAGCAAGACACAGATGAGGTTACTATTAGGTTAAATTTATACAAAATGAGATTGAGGGAAACATAAATACAGCCAGTTAAAAGAAAAAAGATTACCATAACAAAGGAGTGAAAGTTAAGCAATGAATACTGGTCAGAACTTACATACATAATGTGAGATAAACACTAAATTTTATTTGAAATATAAACATATCTCAAAGAGACATTAGAAAAAGGAAAGGAGTGGTTGATTTTGCAGTCCAGGAGCAGAGGTCCCTGGGACCATCAAAGGAAAGGAGCGGAGAGAGGGACCTTACCCAGAGAAGCAGTGACACCAGAGATGGAGGAAGAGATAATGAGGTGGAGAGATGGGGGGAGAGGGGGACTCTGGACTCAGGGAGTGTGTGCTGGTGGCTGTGGGGCAAGCTTGCAGGGTGTACCCTTTCGTTATTGATGATGCATGGAGGGGATTGTAATCATTGCAATGAAATGAAATACGATAGGATGAATGTAAAGCTAATGTTCTCCCATGTAAACCATCACATATTTTACAATAAAAACTAAAAAAAAAAAAGAACAGAAAGAGACATTAGGGAGTGTAGTGACTCTGTAGGATAAGCACTGGACTGAAACCCATAAGGTCAGTGGTTTGAGCCCATCTGTGACTCCATCGGAAAAAGAGGATGCTTTTTGCTCCTACAAGATTGATAGCCTCAGAACCCCTATACAGGGTTGCTATGAGTCAGAACCATCTGATGGCACTTAATAACTTGACAACAACAAATCACCCTTAATCCTCTTACTCACTTGGAGGTCTGGTGTAGACCTGAAGGATAAGAACTAGACCGAGGGGTTGGCTTGAACCACAAGGTCAGTAGTCCAAACACACCAGTCTCTCCTTGGAAATCTGTACAAGACTGCTATGAGTCAGAACTGTCTTGACAGCGCTTAACAACAACAATAACAAGGAGACATCATAGGACAAGTATGATTATTTACTTCATAAATACATGGAGTCACCATGAGCTAGAATTAACTTCAAAGCAACTGTTTTTCTCTCTCTCTCATTTTTCAATCCTAATAGACTAAAGTATGAATCAGTTTCAAAGAGCGCAAGCTTACATTGTTAAACTAGCAAGATTTGATCTAATATTCTGTTATTTTTTTTAATCACTGGGTTATATGCTAGGAATATGCTTATATTTGTCCAATTTTAAAGGTAATTTAAACATATTCCTATTGAGTTTACCACAGGTAAAACAAAGTAAAATTATTATATTCACATTACAATACTGGATTTTGATATACAAAATATTTTAACAGGACAAAATACAGACAGAATATAATGGAATTTTGGTATTAAATATAGTTTTAATAACACATACCATAATTCTAAAATTTGGTAATAAGCAAGTTAGTACCAACCAGTTCTTTTAGATGGCGCTGAGTATAAGATGTTTGACACGGTGACCCAACCATGAGCAGAGGATATTTGGTTAAAATGGGAATGTGCTGTACTAAGTGGAATATATGAAATATCCTAAAACTAAAATTAAATGGTATTTACTATGTTCCACATATGACATTGCATGGAAAATTTTCGTATAATATATACAAGTAAAAATTACCTCATCATCAGAGTCAACAAGGCTTCCCAAATCAAGTCGTGGAACCCTGAAAGAAATAATCTATGCACCCATAACTTTTTAAAAGTGAGATTTAAGTAATTGCAAATTATATATGGTAGATAGTATATAAAAAGGTTCATTAAAATCAGTGCTATACTGAAGCTGCTCAAAGTAGCGCATGACAGGCTTTTGTTAAATGCTGGTGTGGTACTGTGGGTTAATATGCTGGACTGCATTGTCAGTTTGAACCACAAGGTTGGTGGTTCAAGCTCACAAGCCACTCCTCGAAACCCTATACAGGGTCACTATGAGTTGGAACTGACTTTATGGCACTTAACAAAAATTTTTTAGACTGGTTGTTTGAACATAGCTGCTACTGAAAATTAAACTGTATTGACTTCTAAATGCATAAGATATATTAAAAACAAAGATAAGAAACACTCAAAACTCATCAGTGCCTAATAATTTTACTGTTTCATTATTGTCTGTGATCTAGACATTATTTACGTCTATTGTATTTGTATAATATTACAATGGTACATATATCATTCCAGTTGTGTTCAAAGATGTCACATAAATCAAACCCATTGTCAACAAGCTGATTCTGACTCATAGTGAACTTATACAACAGAGTAGAACTGCTTCCTAGAGTTTCCAAGATTGTAAATCTTTACAGGGGCAGATAGCCTCATCTTTATCCCTTTGAGTGACTGGTGGGTTCAAATTGTTCAAATTGTTGACCCTGCAGTTTGAACCCAACTCATAAACCACTATGACACCAGAACTCCTAGGTAGGTTTAAATCAACCAGCATAGGAGCATTTACATAGAAATTGGCAAATGCTATTTTCCTTTCTCTGATTGCTAAGACTTAAAAAAAAAAAGTGATGGAGAAAACTTAATAATGCAAACTCAACTTAAACGTAGGTCATACCTGGAGCTCTTATATGGTGAACAGTACAAAAGAATTTGAAGCAATATTGTTCCAATATTCAAAACTTTTATTCAATTCACCAATGAAGTAACATGCCACTCTGCAGTAAGTGAAAACATCAACTAATATTCATGTTGGAATTACACTGGTTCATCAGTTACAATCAGAGTTTGTCAACAGAAGCAGGAATTTGGCAAAAATTAAAGCAAGCATTCTGTGAGACTCAATTGGCAAAATGAGACTTACAATAAAGAGTTTATATATTTTATTACTATGAGTTAGCTATTAGTGTCAGCAAAACTTACAATAAACTTATAAATCAACTTATGTTTATTCATACTAAAAAAAATTATAATAATCTTATAATAAGCTTTCAGAAAACCAGTTGTTAAACACTTATCAGCACACCCCTGACTGCAGTCATTGCTACAGACTCAAAATCTTGTATTTAGCACTTATGTCTAGTTTAATTGTGTTTAGATGAGCGTCTCAGAATCTATCACATAGAACCACACAAAGAAATAGATATTTTCCCATTTTTAATCTACACAAAAGTCTATTCATTTGCTCAACCTAATAAATTACTAAGGTTTTCACTTCTATTTTCTAGGAAGTCTTATAATCTAAAAAAATACCTGAAAAGTGTATAAAAATATTGGAATTTCAATTTTCAAAGGCAAAATTAATGTGAACTATAAGCATAAATTAACATATCTTAGGAGTCCTGGTGTGGTGGGCTGTGGGCTAATGCACCAGACTGCAAAGTCATTTGAACTGCAAGGTCGGCAGTTCAAGCTCACCAGCTGCTCCTTGGAAACCCTATACAGGGTCACTATGGGTCAGAATCGACTAGACTCACTTAACAACAACAACAGTCTAGTACTGGTTTGGCACTGTAGGTTAAACACTGGACTGCTAACCACAGGGTCAGCAGTTCAAACCCACCAGTCATTCCTGGGAAATGCTGTGAGTCGGAACTGACTCCACAGCATTTAACAAACAATAGTCTAAAAATAAGATCATTTGAATACGATTGATAAAATAGTCCTGTTCTTCAAGATAAGATTAGGACACAGATACAATTACCATTAAAGAGTTTGGTAACAGTGGTGACTAGTCAGGTTGCTAACCTCAAAGTCAGCAGTTTGAAACTACCAACCATCCCGTGGGAGAAAGATGAGGCATTCTGCTCCTGTAAAGATTTACAGCCTCAGAAATCCTATTCAGGGTCTCTAGGAGTTGGAACTGACACCCCAGCACACCATCATCACCATAATTACCATTAAATTCATTTTGACTATCCCAATTGCTGTTTTTAAGTGATGTTGAGTTGATTCCAACTCATAGCAAGCTTATATAGGGTTTCTAAGAACAGTTGGTGGGTTTGAACTGCCAATGTTGGGGTAACTAGTCCAGTGTTCATCCTATAGTACCACACCAGGGCTATATCACAATTACAGAATGCCATTTAGTAAACATGTTAAGCTAAAATTTCAAAATAAGGAAATATTTTAACTTTTTCAGTAAAATGCAAATTAAAAGAAATGAAAAAATAAAAAGTGCGTTGAAAATCTTACGGTGTAGTAACAGTGTTAATGGTAGTGAAATAATTTGGAGGATATTGAGAAAGGTGGCATGTCTTGAAGAACATTACCAATGTCTTCTGAACTGTACAAGCAGAAATTGCTGCCATGGTATATATTTTGATGCATGGTATATATATGTTCAGTAGCCCTGGTGTGGTGGTGTAGGATAAGCTCTAGACTGCAAACTGCAGGGTTGGCAGCTCAAACCCAGCAGGCCCTCCTCAGAAAACCCATACAGGGTCGCTAGGACACAGAACCTCCTCAAAAGCACTCAGTGACAATAACGATAACAACATATTTTCAACCAAAAAAAAAAAGAAGCATTATTCATAATTTTACCATTCTATTACAAGAGCTATTTTAATTTTTACATAGTAATTTTAAGGCTTCTACAAGCCTATAAATTTTTTATGGAGTTCATAATCAACTATTGTCAATGTATCATAAGTAAATATTTGTCTGTAATACAATTCAAATGTAAAGAAATGTAACTTACACAGGTGGGCAAAGATGCTGCATTGCCCGTGACTCAGAAGCCCATCCTTGCTTTAATAAGAAAAAAGAGAAAGAGAAAAAATAAGTATGCATATATGTTTTATGGGTCCTTCATACAATAAATCAATACAATAAAGGTGATTATCATTTTTCTCAGTAAACTTCATTTTTTAAACCTCTCCTTACTTACATCCCTACCCTTATAGCATTTTATCTGCTAAAGAAGACAAGTTATGTGAAAAATAAATGCTAGGGTAGAGTGGCAGCACGTAGCATGTAGGCCCACCCTTGTCTAGAGAGTTCACAAAGCGTTCAAATGGAGCTCTGAAGGGTAAATAGGAGTTAGTCAGATTAGGAGAGAAGGGAGCAAAATGCTTCAGGCAGAGGAAACAATTCTGCAGCACAGACTACAGATGAAAAGAGGTTCCAGTCAGAGTGAGAGGAGGTGGTGGTAGAGCTGCTGCATTATAATACAATCATCTCAATGTTACAACATTATAACAAAAGGAGCTTGACAATTGTCATAAAATAATGGGAAGAGTGTGGGGTTTTAAGAAAGGAAGTGACACCTATACACATAAATGTTTTATCTCAGTACAAAAAAAATATGCAAGATAGGAAAACTACTGTGACTTTAGGCTGCGGAACAAGAGTTATATATGAGTTCTAGGGAACGTTAAGTTTATAAAAGCAAGAAATGCTTCATTTGTCAGCATTTATGCCTACCTGATGCATTATTTTTTTGTGATTTGGATAGCAAGTACAGAAATTAACATTTTTACTGACCATAAAAATTTGTTGTTGTTGTTAGGTGCCATTGAGTCGGTACCAAATCATAGCAACCTTATACACAGCAGAACGAAGTACTGCCCAATCCTGGGCCAACCTCACTACTGTTGCCACACTTGAGTCCATCAATGCTGCCACTTGACCAATCCATCTCATTGGGTGTCTTTCTCTTTTTCTCTGACCCTCCACCTTACCAAACATGATATCCTTCTCCAGGGACTTGTTCCTCCTGACAATATGTCCGAAGTATGAAATATGAAGTTTGGCCATCTTGGCCTCCAAGGAGCACTCTGGCTGCACTTTTTCCAAAACGAATCTATTGATTCTTTTGGTAGCCCATGGCACTTTCAATATTCTCCTCCAACACCATAACTCAAAGGCATCAATTCTTCTACAGTCTTCCTTATTCACTGGCCAGCTTTTGAATGCATATGAGGTTATTGAAAATACCATGGCTTGGGTCAGGTGCACCTTAGTCCTCAAGCTGACATCCTTCCTCTTCAACACTTTAAAAGTTCTTGTGCAGCAGATTTGCCTAATGCAATACGTCGTTTGATTTCTTGACTGCTGCTTTCATGAGTGTTGATAGTTAATCCAAAAATGAAGTCTTGACAACGTCAATCTTTTCTCCATTGATAAGAATGTTGTTTATTGGTCCAGTGGTGAGGATTTTTTATTTCTTTACATTGAGATACAATCCATACCCAAGGCTGTGCTCTTTGATCTTCAAGGCTGTGCTCTTTGATCTTCATCAGTAAATGTTTTAAGTCTCCTTTTCTCTTTCAGCAAGCAAGGTTGTATCATCTGCATATCACAGGTTGTTAATGAGTCTTCCTGCAATCCTGATGCCACGTTTTTCTTCATAGAACCCAATTTCTTGGATTATTTGCTTAGCATACAGGTTGAATAAGTACGGTGAAAGAATACAACCTTGTGGCATACCTTTCTTAATTTGAAACCATTCAATGTTGCCATGCTCTGTTCAAACAACTGCCTCTTTGTCCCGGTACAGATTCCTCACGAGTACAATTAAGTGTTCTGGAATACTCATACTTCACAATGTTGTCCATAGCTTGTCATGATCCACACAATCAAAAGCCTTTGCATAGTCAATAAAGCACAGGTAAACACCATAAAAATAAGAGAATATAAATTCTAGATATTAACTTTAATATGAGGTTATTTTTTAAACTATCCTAATAAATAGTTTAAATTTTTAAATGATGAACATCATAAAATTACCATTTCAATGGGAAAAAATACATATATAACATAGCTTAAAATATCAGTATGAGCCAAGATTTTGAACTGCAGTTCTAATTAGCATACATTGTTGATGGTAAGTATCATTGAGTCCAATCCTGTATAGGGATTCCAATAAGCAGCTGATGGATGTGAACTAATGACCTTGCTTATTCTATATTGCCACATCAGGACTCCATATAATAAAAGATGAAAAAAGACAGGGTAAAAAATGTCCAAAATTTTCTATAAAGGGTCAGGTTATAAACAATTTGGGTTCCACGGGCCACATGCTTTCAGTCACAATTACTCAACTTTGCTGTTGTTGGGTGAATACAGCCATCAGCAAATTGTAAACAAATGATAGTGACAGTATTTCAAATATTTTTACTAAACCAGATCTGTGGGCCATAGTTTGCTGACTTCTGATCTAGGGATTTATAAACTATAATGTATTTTTATTCTGAATTGAGTAACACAATTTTGTTGGAAGTAAGCAAGAATTAAACAGTTATGCTTTTGAATTCAGATAATTGTGTAGAGCTATATTACAACAGTTTCTGGGGATGATAATGACAACAACTGTAACAACTACATTTAGATGGAGTCCTGGTGTGGTGCTGTGGGCTTATGCATCAGACTGCAAAGTCGTTTGAACTGCAAGATCGGGGTTCAAGCTCAACTGCTGCTCCTAGGACACCCTATACATGGTCGCTATGGGTCAAAATTGACTCGATGGCACTTAACAACAACAACAACTATTTAGATAGGGAACTTTTGATAAACTACATAATCTCTAAGACTCTCAATTCTTGTATGCCTAAAGGCATTCTAATAATAATGCCTACCTCAAAAGTTTGTTGTAAAATTGAGGGATGTAACTTACTAAAAATTTGCTATGGTCCTTAATAAGCAGTATTTTATGTATATATACATATGTATGTATATATTCAGAGTACTAAGACTAGGCAGAAAATACAAGAGGGGATTTCAAAATCTCATGGGAAAATGGAATTAAAAGATAACAAATGGAATTTCTCCACAGAAATTTTAAAGTGCCTTTATACATTACTTACATGTAATTCTAAATTAAACTTGATATTAGCATTGGGAACTGTTAGGTCAGCAATTCAAACCTACCAGCTGCTCTGAATGAGAAAGAGGAGACTCTGCTCCCATAAAGATTTACAATCTGACCTCAGGTTCAGACAGTTGGGTGTAAGTGCTTGACTGAGGACCCAAAGAGGCGAAGCTACCATCTGTGGTATGACTGAATCCCTCTAAATCAAAATCCTACCCAGGAGGAGTGCCACGTGCAGGTAGAAGAGAGCCATCATCCTAGAAATGGGGCATGGCGTGCTCGCGCCCTTCACATATGTTTGTGGGGAGCCTGATGCTAAACCATTAGTAAACAGTTTCTGGGTTTGGGTTACGGTTAGGGTTGTGTGTGTAGCAAAGCAGCCCCCTCACTTCTATCTATTGAAAATCAGCCCATGACAAAAGGATTTGTAAACAAAAAAAAAAAGGTCTACAATTTGGGAAATCCTGAGCTTTGGTAGTATTTTTACGAATTGGGCTGCGAACCTTAAAGTCAGCAGTTCGAAACTACCAGCTGTTCCGTGGGAGAAAGATGAGGCTTTCTGCTCCTGTAAAGATTTACAGCATCAGAAACCCTATACAGGATCACTATGAGTTGGAACAGACTCCACGGCACATAACCACCAACAACCATGGATCCTATGGAGCATCTGTCCTCTAGGGTTGGAATAGACTCAGAACAGTGGGTTTTATTTTTGTTTGTTTGTTTTTGGTTTGGTTGTGGATATAAGAGCAAAGTAGCTTCAAATTTGTACTTACCAATGATGTTGTTGCTGTTAAGTGCTATCAAGTTGGTTTTGACTAATAGTGACCCTGTATAGGGTTTTCAAGGAGTGGCTGGTGGGTTTGAACTGCTGACCTTGCAAATCAATCGGAATTCGCAGTCCAGTGTTTATCCTACAGCGCCATACCAGGACTCCAATATAACAGCAATCTGATTATGGTTGAGAGGTTATAGTCTTAAAAATAAAGGACTAGATTCTCACCCTACCAAATAACACAAAATTTAATATTGCTGTTGTTGTTAGGTGTCATCGAAGCAGTATCAACTTGCACAACAGAAACACTGAATGGTCCTGGGCCAACCTCACAGTTGTTGCTATACCTGAGCCCATCGCTGATGTCACTGTGCCAATCCATCTCAATGGGGGTCTTCCTCTTTTTCTCCAACCCTCCACTTTACCAAACATGATATCCTTCTTCAGGGACTGGTCACTTCAGATAATATGCCTGAAATATAAGAGAACAAAGTCTGGCCATCCTGGCTTCCAAGGAGCACTCTGGCTGTACTTCTTCCAGCACAAATCTGTTTGTTCGTTTGGTAGTCCATAGTACTTTCAATATTCTCCTCTAACACCATAACTCAAATGCATCAATTCTTCTACAGTCTTCTTTGTTCACTGTCCAACTTTTGCATGCATATGAGCTTATTGAAAATACCATAGCTTGGGTCAGGGACACCTTAGTCCTCTTCAACATTTTAAAGTGAACTTGTACAGCAGGTGTGCTTAATGCAATACACTGTTTGATTCTTGACTGCTGCTTCCTTGAGTGTTGATGGTTGATCCAAGCAAAATGAAGTCTTTGACAACTTCAATCTTTTCTCCATTAATATGAATGTTGTTTATTGGTCCAATGGTGAGGATTTTTGTTTTCCTTATACTAAGATGCAACCCATACCAAAGGCTGGGGTCTTTGATCTTCATCAGTAAGGATTTTAAGTCCTCTTCGCTATCAGCAAACAAGGTTGTAATACTCTAAATATTTTCATTTTGGTTTAAATATAAAAACAGTAAGTTAGTTGATCTGTGTTTCATTTGTTGGCATTAGCTACCATCAAGTAAGCTCTAACTCATGGCAACCTTATACAGAACTAAACAAAACTGGGGCCTGGTCCTGTCATTTGTATGAGCTTTGATCTGTTTGAGTCTGTTTCTTACTTTTATACTTTTGCATTTTTTCAGCATGCAATCATCTCTAGCTTCAATGTCTTCTGTACTTGTTTTGACTATCAAAATAATTTTCATTCTTCCAACAAATAAGAGATATCGTTCCTTATAGAAACCTTATCTAATCCCCAAATCTATCATTCTTCTTTGAATCTCCATATTTTGTATATGGAAAGGCTTCAAAAAATTCATGAAAAGTGGGGAAAAAAGATAATGTAATTTTCCTATGAGCTTTTTAAAGTACTTTTGTATATTTCAATAGTTGAACCAACACTGTTGGAATTATAGATCTTACCTACAAAAATGAGAAGCTCCTTGAAAAGAGTCTTTATCTCATTTATGTTGAATACCTAGCACTAGCATTATGCTAAGTACACTATAGGTACAAAACAAAAACATTCAAAAGAATCTAGTAAGTGGAATTCCATTTTTAAATAATCACACTCTACATTTTAAAGTGAATACAAACAGCTATTATTACATATCGTTGTGTTTGTTCCAACTTATAATGACCTATGTATAACAGAATGAAGCACTGAGCACTTCTGAGCCATCCGAATAATCCTAACTATGTTTCAGCTTATATTTGTTTGAGCCACGGTGTCAATTAATCTCACTGAAGGTCTTCCTCTTCTTACTTACCCTCTACTATATCAAGCATGATGTCCTTCTCCAGGGAGGGAGTGGCCCGTCTTTATAAAATGTCGAAAATATGTGAGATGAAGTTTCTCTATCCTCAATTCTAAGGAAGATATACTTCTTCCAAGGCAGATTTGTTCATTCTTTTAACAGCCATGTTATAGTTAATAATTTTTGTCAATACCATAATTCAAAGGCATCAATTCTTCATTTTTTCTCATTCATTGTTCAGTTTTTTAATACAGATGAATTGAATGAAAACACCATGGCTTTTGTCAGGTACACCTTAGTTCTCAAAATGTTATCTTTGCTTTTTAATATTTTAAAGAGGCCTTTTTCATCAGATTTATCCAATGCAATACATCCTTTGATTTCTTAACTGCTATTTCCATGGTTATTGATTGTGGACCAAAGTAAAATTAAATCTTGTAACTTCAATCTTTTCTCCAATTTTTATGATGTCGCTTGTTGGTCCCATTGTGATGATTTTTGTTTTCTTTATGTCAAGGTATAATTTATACTTAACACTGTAACCACTGATCTTTATCAGTAAGTGCTTCAAATTCTCTTTGATTCCAGCAAGTAAGGCTGTATCATTTGCATATTGCAGATTGGTAATGATTCTTCCTCCAATGCTGTATTCTTCTTCATATAGTCCAATCTCTTTATTATTTGTTCAGCATATTGTTAGGTGCCATCAAGTCAGGTCTGACTCATAGCGACCCTATGCACAACAGAATGAAACACTGCCAGATCCTGGGCCAACCTCACAATTGTTGCCACATTTGAACCCATTGATGCTGCCACTTTGCCAATCCATATTTTGAGTGCCTTCCAACCTGAGGGGCTCATTTTCTGGCACTATATCTAACACTGTTTCTCTGCTATTCATAAAATTTTCAGTGACTAAATATTTGGAAGTAGTTTGTCACTCCTTCCTAGTCTGTCAGCATCTGGAAGCTCATCTGAAACCTGTCCACCATGGGTGACCCTGCTGGTATTTAAAATACCAGTGGCATAGCTTCGAGAATCACAGCAACTTACAAGCCACCACAGTACAACAAACTGACAGACAAGTGGTGGTTTGTTCAACACACAGATTGAATAAATACAGTGAAAGGAAATAACTGTGACTTATACCTTTCCTGATTCTAAACCACCCAATATCCCGATGTTCTGTTTAAACAAATGCCTCTTGGTCTAGAAATAGGTTCCACATGAACATAATGATCATAATATTTTTGTTGTTAAGTGCCGTTGAGTCGGTTCCGACCCATAATGACCCTGAACAGGGTTTCCGAGGCTATAAATCTTTATGGGAGCAGAAAGCCTCATCTTTCTCCCATGGAGTAGCTGGTAGTTTCGAATTGCTGACCTTGTGGTTCTCAGCGCGATTAGTAACCACACGCTACCAGAGTAGTCACTGAATAATCTTATTGGATTTTAATAATATAGAAAATGCTATGCTTTATGCTACATGAAGAAGCAGGATATAAAATTATACAAAGGTGTACCATTTATGCATAAATCCAACTCGAGGAGTCTTAGTATGGTGCTGTGGGTTAATTCACTGGACTGCAAAATTGGTTTGAACTTTACAAGATTGGTGGTTCACACTCACCAGCTGTTCCTCAGAAACCCTATACAAGGTTGCTATGGGTCGGAACCAATTTGACAGCACTTAACAACAACAAAATGTTAGTAGTTAATTATATTGGTGGGGATATTGTTACTTTTTTTTATTTCCACTATTTTTATTTTTCTATAATTTCTACACATATCATTTTTTAAATAATAAAATTAAAATAAGCTTAATTTTTAAAAGTGGAAACTCAGTCTTCAAGTAATGACTATCTTCAATTCTGTTGGCTCATTTCTTAAAACTTAGGCACTATCAATCTTAAATATTTGAGTATAAGTAGTCATTAAAAATTAGGAAAGAAAACAGAAGACTATTTTATGAGTCATTTTACAAGAGGAATATTATTTAGCATACATACTTTTAGTGGCTTCTTTCTTTCAGAGAACGGATGAGTTTGGCTCCTAGGAGAAGCAGCAACTCCCTTAACCTCTAAATCCATTCAAGTTTACGTATTTACCATGCAGTATCCTTTGGAAAAGGTAAAACAAAAGTAAAATGATCTTTTGTACTGTCATTTAAAATAAGTCATATCATTATACAAGAATCCTACACAGAAAGAAATCAGTTAGCTCATCAATTTTACTTCTTTCCCGAAAAACAATATTTTGTGGTGGTATTACCTTATGTAAAGGAGTACTCAGCTGCTAACTGAAATGTCAGTGATTCAAATCCACCAGCTACTCCACAGAAGAAAGATGTGGCAGTCTACCTTCCTAAAGATTACAGTCTTGGAAACCCAATGGGGCAGTTCTACTCTGTCCTACAGGGTCATTCTGACTCGAATCATGTCTATGGTCCCATTACTTTATGACAATAAGGAGCCCTTGTATCTTCGTGGGTTATCTGTTAACTGCAAAATCATCAGTTCAAATCTACCTGCTGCTCCATGGGAGAAAGATAAGGCTTTGTGCTCCAGTAAAAATTTACAGCCTCAGAAATCCTATTCAGGGTCTCTATGAGGAGTTGGAATCCGCTCAACGGCCCACCACCACCATGACTCTATGACAATGGTGTTAAATTATGTCCTGTGGTAGGCTGAATAATGATCCCCAAAATAGCTGCATCCTAGTCTACAAAATCTGTGACTATGTTACCTTACATGGTAAAATGGGCCATGCAAGCAAAAGCTATTAAACAAAGGTCTTGAGATGGAAAATTATTATCTGGTAGACCCAGTGCAATCAGTCACCAGGGTCCTTACAAGAGGGTGGCAAGAGGATCAGAACGAGAAAGAGAGGTTGAGTTTGGATGGAAGCAGAGATCAGAGAGAAGAGAAGATGCCAGGCAACAGACTTTGAAATGAAGAACACCATGTGGAGCCTCAAGAAAGCTGGAAGAGGCAAGGAACTGTATTTCCCCGCTGCATGCTCCAGAAATGCTCATTTTGGGACTTTTGACTTTCAAACTAAGACCCTACTGTTTTTAGGAGACCCTGGGTGGAGCAAATGGGTAAGTAGCTGGTTAAGTGCTTGGCTGGTCACTGAAAGTCTTGCATTTCCAGTGTACAACAACACGATAAAATAATGTGGTTTTCAGTAACTATCTTTGTACTGATTTGTCATAGCAGCAATATAAAACTAATGAATGTCTCTCTTCTCTACCAGACTGTGGGACTAAAAGAGGCCTTCCCTGTTAAAGTTCACCCAAATCCAGGCCTGCGTCAGTACGTTGCCTAGCAACAAGCGCCTCCGTGCTAGAGCCTCCCTTAGAGTCCTCTCTAACTTCCAGAGAAAAAGTCATCAGCCAAAACACTTGTTCCTCCCAAGAAGCGGTGTCTTCTGGCTCCAGAGGAGACCCCGGGCCACTTCCAAAGAAGTACTCACAAGAAAACAGAAAGTGATGAAACACTCCACGCAAAGGCTGCCAGAATCTCCCCTGGGACAGTTCGATGGTATCTCGAAATCCTGGCAGGGAGCTGAACCGGACTCACTCATCTGCACTTCTGCAGCTTTGGGAGACTGCCAAAGCCCGGCCCGGAGTAAAACGGTTGTAGGGAATTCTTTCTTCCTTTGAATTGTATTTAACACATTTCAAAATGTACTGGGTGCCCAACACCGAAATTGGCGCTGTGACATAATGTCCTGGGCCACAAGGTGGGTTTGTAAACACAAGGTCAACAGTTCAAAATCATCAGTCGCTCCTAACAAACCCTTTACAAAGGGTCCCAATGGGTCAAAGGGACTCCATGGCACTTAAAACATGCTGTAATATCTACTCTCAAGAAGCTTGCATTATTTAAAACAAAAAGACAGCAGTATAGAGATATACAATACGGTGGTGATGGTGGTGTGCCATTTGGTCGTTTCAACTCATAGTGACATCTTATAGGGTTTCCAAGGCTGTAAATACTTACAAAATCTGGGATCTTCATCTTTCTGTGCCATGGAATCAACCCTATACCGGTTTCGTTTCCTGGAGCAGAAAACCTCATCTTTCTCCCATGGAACAGCTGGTAGTTTTGAAATGCTGACTTTAAGGTTCACAGCCACCACTATGCTACCAGAGTCCCTGGTAAATTTGAGCTGCTGATCTTGGAGTTAGCAATTCATCTGGTAACCCACTAAGCTACCAAGCCTACTTAAATAGACATGTATAAAAATTACATATTTTTGCAATTGAAAGATAATGGAATCTTCCCACAAACTTTTTGAAGCTCCTTGTATGTACATGTCATTACTGGTTCAGACTCACAGCAAGACCACACACAGCAGAACTGCCCCAGGTCACCAGTTCTTTCTCCCACTGAGCCTCTGGGTGGTTGAAACTGCCAACATTTAAGTGCTGCGCTCCCTTGGCTCTTTGTATAAGGGAAAAGAATCAGGGAACCTTCATTTTATTATTTGCTCTACAATGATTTTATATTTTTGTTTTGCACATGTTGTGTTTGGGATTCAACTCCTCGTCTATAAAAGGAAAAATCTAGTTTGAGTTAATTCTAAGATTTTATTCCATTCTATGTGGCTGTAGGATAATGCACTGGACCGCAAAATCACTTGGAATCACAAAGTCGGCGGTTCAAACCCACCAGCTGTTCTTCAGAAACCCTATACAGGCTCACTATGGGTTGGAACCGACTCTACAGCACTTAACAACAACAATATGCTGTATATGGAGCACAGGTAGCACAGTGGTTAAGCTTTGGACTGTTAACCAGTCAGCCATTAGAAATCACCAACTGTTCTGTAAGCAAACGATGAAGCTTTTTGCTCTGGTAAAAATTTACAGCCTTGGAAACGCTATACAGGGTTGCTATGAATCAGAAGTGATTTGGTGGTACACAATTGTTGTTGTTGTCAGGTGCCATCAAGTCGGAACCGACTCATAGCGACCCCATGCACAGCAGAACAAAACAATGTCAGATCCTGGGCCAACCTCACTACCACGGCCACACTTGACACCATCAATGATGTCACCTGACTGATCCATCTCATTGGGGGTCTTCCTCTTTTTCTCTGACCCTCCACCTTACCCAGCATGACATCATTCTCCATTGACTGTTTCCTACCGGGCAATATGTCCAAAGTATGAGAGACGAAGCTTAGCCAACTTGGCCAGATACAGGTACACAATTACCACCACCATTAATATACTTATACCATGTGATTGTTGTTATTTTTGGGTGGTTATTGAATAGATTTTGGCTCATATCAACCTCATATAACTGAATCTTTCCCAAAGGGTTTTCTAGGCCACACTTCTTAAGAAAGCAGGTCACAGGTCTCTCTCCTATAATTTCCTAATTCACACAGCCAAGTGTCAGATATCCAAATTAAAACTAAAATCTTCTGAAGCCTAATCTAGCTGTCTTCCCACAGTATCATATAGTTTTTCTCATCTGCACTCTTTCCAAATGTATCTTCTCTCAAAAATATGTATGTCTGAATTTGCAGGTTGGAGGCAGTTTGGGGTTAAAAATACAAATATTATTTTAGTTATAAAAATAGTTAAATCAATTAATATAACATAATTACTCTGTACTTAATTTCTGTATTCCACTAAATTATACTAAGGTGCGCCTGACCCAAGCCATGGTATTTTCAATAACCTCATATGCATGCAAAAGCTGGACAGTGAATAAGGAAGACTATAGAAGAATTGACGCTTTGAGTTATGGTGTTGGAGGAGAATACTGAAAGTACCATGGGCTGCCAAAAGAACCAACAGATCTGTGTTGAAAGTGCAGCCAGAGTGCTCCTTGGAGGCCAGGATGGCCAAACTTCTCTCTCATACTTCGGATATATTGTCAGGGGGAACCAGTCACTGGAGAAGGAAGGATATCATGTTTGGTAAGGTGGAGGGTGAGAGAAAAAGAGGAAGATCCCCAGCGAGATGGATTGGCAAAGTGGGAGCATCAATGGGCTCAAGCATGGCAACAATTGTGAGGTTAGGCTAGGACTGGGCAGTGTTTCATTCTGTTGTGCATAGGGTCGCTGTGAGTTGATACCAACCCGGTGGCACTAACTACAACAATCCCTCCTATTACCCTCACAATGAGGGAAGGGGAGGAGGGTGGGAATCGATGGAGCATGAATAAACTGAGACATAGTAAAAATGAAGAAGCAAAAATTAAACTTCAGTTTTAAAAACATTACAAATGACCTTAAAAAATTCTAGCACACAGCTAATCTAGACCTTTTCGCATAAAGACAGTCAAGAAAGTAACATTAGCAAATGTCCTTGCCTATTCCTGGCACTTAGGTTTAGTATACCTAAATTGTTCAATATTACTGAATATAGCTCTCTAAATCAGTAGGAACTTTGAAAGAAGCACATTTATATAATCAAGGACATTTTGTGAAAATATCTGTTATAAGAGTTATAGACTTGGATTGTCCTGTTGTGGGTAAATGCACTGGACTGTAGTTGGTTTGAACCACAAGGTCGGCAGTTTAAGCTCACCAGTGGCTACTTGAAAATCCTATAGAGTCATTGTGGGTTAAAACTGACTCGATGGTGCTTAACAATAGCATCATATAAATTGTACTGGTTTGCCTATTTTCAAAACAATGCATTAATCTATGTTCTGTTATTGTTACAGCCATTTCATTTTTCTGCACACAAAATAAAACTAAATTAGACATATGTTAACCTTTACTACTTTGCATATCCATGATAATTTGCATTTGAAACTGAACTCTTAACTTTCATTTATTTTTTCTTTTAGTCAATAATGTATTCAGAAAATATCTATTAAATACCTACACTGTGTCAATACAGTTATCAGTAAAGTATACAGGCTTATTCAGTATTATCTTTTAAATTATTGAGTTAAAAATATTTATTAAGCCTCTGGTGTGGCACTGTAGGAAAAGCACTGGACTGCAAGATCAATTTGAACCACAAGGTTGGTGATTCAAATTCTCCAGCTACTACTTGGAAACCCTATATAGGGTCACTACAATGTAAAGAAAACAAAAATCCTCACCACTGGACCAATAAACAACATTCTTATCAATGGAC